GGGGAATTCTGGGAGTTGGAGTCCACTCATCTTAAAGTGGCCAAGTTTGGACAACACTGGCATAAATCTTGGGCAGGATGATGTTCTAGAAGGCAGGTGCCGTGACAGAGAAGGAGCGGTTTGTACTCTTAGTTGCCTGCACACTTTTATCTCAGGAAGCAGCCATTTTGTCCTGGGCGACTGGCTCTAAACTAGAAGGCAGTTTTCCACTGAAATTCAGGAGTGAATAAAATTGGCCACTTAAAATGAGATAATCTCCAGCATGTGCTGTGGCATTACTTTGCAGTGTGCCACACCAGTATAGAATTTTTATATTGGTGAAAATCCTTTGCTTTCTCTTACGAGTGAAACTCAAGGCAAACTTTAGCCAAAGCTTGACTGGACCATTTCTCATCTGGAATGCATTTATCCTCAGAAACTCTCTGAATATGTCTTGCAGAAATGTGGCTTTTGTAGCAGCACTTAATGGCCTGTTAGCAAGTTTTGTCCTGATCTTACAGTCCTGTTATAATTGAAACCAGTAAATGCACATTTATTCTGATACTGTGTTCTTGAAATAGTTTGGTGTGTTCGTCTGCTTGGCAGGAGTTCTTCTTAAGAGTTGCACTTCACAGAGCAAGAGCATAAATGCGAGAAACAAGCTAACGTAATATGAAATATGGGATCCTGCACATCTGCGGTATAAGCTATTTGTTGACAATGAAAATACATTTTGATTTAAAAATTACCTTTGATTCTTACTCAGTTTTTGAGAAAGAAAAATTTGAAAGAGACCTTCCTAGATACTTCTAGTAATTAACATTCAGGGTAATATCTGTAACTGGATAGATACAATCTGAGAGTAAAAGAGTTGGAGATAGGCTTGTGGGCTAGAGAAATGCTTTTGCTTCAGAAGTGGCTTTAAATTGTGTAGTTTTAAAATCATCCTAGCATTCCTATCTTGAGCAATGAGAAGGGAGGTATGAGATCATTCTACTCTTCTATTTCAGGAAATGCTCCAAGCATGGGGCTAAGCAGTGTTTATTGCAAGAGACTTTGTTTAAATCCTTGCAACATAAAAGAGGAAAATATTCAGGCAGATCAAGTATTTCCCAGTTTGATCCTGAAACTTGCTGAGTTCAGAATGGAATGATGGATATTTATTCCTCTGCCTCCTCTCCCACTCAAGTCCTGTGAGTGGTGAAGCTAAGTCTGCAAAAGACAAGCATAGCAAATGATGGAAAAAGAAAGTAAGGCTCAAATGAAGAATAAAGAAGGCAGGCCAACATTATTTGGAATTTGGGTTAAAACGTTGAGCTCAGGAGTATGGGAGAGAGGAGTGTACAGACAGATGTGTATCTGTGTATTTGATGTAGTTATCCAGCCAACTACTGAAGTCTGCAACAGCCCTCTTCCAGCTTCTAATGCAGCCTTTTAATATGGGTGAGCACGAAATGAGAAACACGTTTTGTTTCAGGCTCAGAACAAAATAGTCTCATTTAAATAGTTCCACTGAAAGATTCCGAGTCTGCTGTGTTCCAACAGAGTAAAACACCAGTGTTTTGAACATTTAGTCCATAAAGCACAATGGGGATTCAGCAAAAGCTCTTGCTCCTTGGGTTCAAGTCCAGAAGGATAGGTGGTATGGCAGTCCAGACTGACTTCTGTCACTAAACTTTTATAAACCTTGGCCAAAAGTATGATTTTAAGATCAATTAAAAATGCCTGTTGGCTGTGCTTCCTGACAATGATAGGAGTTGCAGTCTAGCTTATCTGCAGGGCATCTTGTTGGGGAAGGCTGGTTTATAGTGAGGGAGTTTTACTTTTAGGCTAAATTTGCCATATTGCCCTAAGCTATAATGTGATTTATTTATTTTTGGAAGCCCTCAGATTCCCTTGTTGCGGCCCATAATCATTGTGTTGACTATGACCAGTTAAAACTAAATTTCATTGTGGAACGGAATTATTATTATGGTTGGTCGCGCAGTCAGCCAGTTGTTTAGACTGGATTTGGCATTTTTTTCCGCCAATCAAGTCCTTCCCAAGGACCTGGGATAGGCAGATTATTGATGACGCAACAACGATGATGATCCCATCTTTATCTTTATGTGCTTACTCTCACTTTGTTGAGTTTCATACTGTTTATTCCTTCTCTTCTCTTTCAGATTTATCACGGAACAGACTCTCAGAGTTGCCACTAGAAGCTTGCCACTTTGTTTCCCTTGAGAGCTTGAATTTGTACCAGAACTGCATTCGTTATATTCCAGAAGCCATTGTGAACTTGCAGTCGTTAGCGTTTTTGAATATCAGGTAATCATGTCATACCACCACTCCAGAGCCGCCTTGCCTTCCCAGGCTGCAGAGGGTTGGGCCCAGCAGAATTCTCAGGTTGTAGCGCCCTGAAGGGAGAAGGCTTGCGCGAAGGCATACCACTGGACGCGCCAAGAAAGCATTATTGGCAGTTCTTATATTGAATTGAAGGCTTTCCTGTAGCAGGTGGCCTGGCTGTCCAAGTCGCATTTTTATGTATTTGTTTGGGGTCTACATGGTGGGGGAATGCTGGCAGAGTTCAGAAATTTTCCTTGAGATTATTTGAAGAGGATTTGGTAACACCAGATTATTAAGTTACTGCAAAATACAGATGTTGTAGGATGAATGCCATGTCAGTCTATGATAGCAAAAAAACTGGAGTCTGGTAGCACCTTTTCCGACTGATGAATTTTATTCAAAGGCATAAGTTTTTGTGAGCTCATGTCATAGACGACATCTGATGAAATAAACTGGAGCTCACAAAAGTTTATACCTTTGAATAAAATGTGTTAGAAAACGTGCTACCAGACTCCACAAAATGCAGAAGTCACTTTTTTCCTGGTTCTTACTTTAAACTCATTATAGCACTTTTGTATTAACTAAGCTGATTCTAGTTCGTTTCTGGTCATAATTCAAGATGCTGCCCTTACTGCTAAAGTCCTAAACAGTTTGGGCTAGATGTATGAAACCTTGCCTCTTCATTTTAACCAATATGCCTGAAATGAAATAACTCTTTTGAAAGCCTTTCTGTGTAGGGGTCTGTTTCATATTTGAAATGGCCATTTTAAGTGACTTGAGTGTAAAATAAAACATGTCCCACAAGTTAATTTCGAGGTTGGAACAAAACATACTGCTTTGTTCTGATCCCGGGACAAAACTTGCCTGTTTCGAGCAATGGCGTTTCAAATGCCCTAGTCGTACAAATCACTCTTGAAGCAGGACATTCCAAACACGACATGGGCCACTTAAGCTTTCTGAGTTTGAAACAAAATGTGTGTGATTTGAGTGTTTTCTTGGTGGAATGAGGCCGACTCGACTGGTCCAGCTAGTTTGAGTGGGTCTGTTTTGTTCCATACCTGAAACAAAACATATTTCTCCTGCTGTGCAGATTCCCACTTCCAAGTGGTGCTTAATGCGTGGCTGTGCAGGATCCACTTTCTTTTGATGATTCCCCAGCTGGGGAGAGCATGTCAGACCTGTTCTTTATTTAGCTTTGGGCAGGCTGTTAAATGTTTTGTTTCATTTTCATGTGGTTTTCAGTGTCTTAGGAATGCTCTCAACTTTTAAACTTTTTCTTCTCATGGATTTAATGTTACCCGGTTTTCTAAAGTTTTAAACTGTAAGCTGTCGTGACGGGCTTTTCTCAGCTGAGTGATGTAGATAAATAATGCTGGTTTTGCACTTAAGTTTTCATACATAATTATCCTCCGGTGAACGTTTGGGATCCCTGATGACTTGATTGCAGGGTATTATAACTTACGGCACATGTGCTTTGTAATATCCTATATTCTGTGAAGAGGTGTTTTGTATACCTCAGCTAGTGACAAAATAAGTAATCAGAGTTTGGTTTAACTTGATCCTCCGGCAATTTATTTGTGCCTTACTTCCTTTGTCTTTTACAGCAAGTTTCCTTTAAAAAAAAAAAAAAAAGGATGTGAGTCAGAGGACAACTTCCGATTGTTGTTCACTTCAAAATGTTTGTTTTGTACTGCTAGTTGACTGTGGGTAAACATGGAAGGTTAAGATTTCTTTTATTAAAAACAATGCATTTCACGTTGAAGGGGTCCTGTGGCGTGGTGTCTTTGGGTTGCTACTGGCCCATTTCCATTCGAAACGTTCCTCGTGGAGCAGCCCCCTCTCGGCCCTTTAGCGATCCACTAAAGCAGCTCTGAATTTCAAGCTCTATGATTGGGTGTTTGGCTTTTCCAAAGAGCCAGCTGGGTTATCCTTCTGCATTTCCCCTGGCTGCAAAAACAGATCCTGGCGTTTCCTGAGACAGGAGAGCATGTGGTGGAAGGAGGGGCTCTTGCGTGCCCGGTGCTAACTTTCCACAAGACGGTTAGTGAGGCTGCCGTATTGTCTTCAACCTCCATTTTGGTTTCCATAAAAGCTAGCAAACTAGTGACAACACAAGATGTTTGTGGATCAACAGCCCACTTTGTCACATTTTTTTATTTTTATATTCATTCATTCAATTTATCGTAAATCCGCTAGGACAAATACATGTTCTATAAAACATCCATGGTAAATTTAAATAATATATCACTAAATAAAGAACACCCCCCCCCTCCAACCAACACCAGTGAGTTTGATTCTGGTTGGACAGCGTGGCCCTGGAGTTATGTGGGTAGCAGGCTGTATAGTTCCAGGCCCCTACTTTGCATTGCACCCATAAGCCTATTGGGTGCCAGCGCAGGGCTCAAGCACAGGAGTAATGTAGTCTTGGTGGCACTTGCTGGCTATTCAGTGGGCCATTGCATTGTGAGTCTTGGGTGTTATATCCTGGAACAGGAATAAATATATTTTATTTACAGGTAAGGAGAGCTCAGAAGAAAATAAAGCATAGAAGGTACAGATCACGGTCATTACATTTAGATGAAAATATATATAGAAATTCTTGGACCGGTGCTCAACTGCCAGCTTTCAGCTGCATGAGTTTCCTCTTTATAAAACAGGCAGGAAATCCTTTTGCAATTGGACGCCACAGGGCTGCGGGAAACTTGGCGATGCAAGCCTGGAATTTTTAGCCCCTACTTTTTTTTTGTTTTTTTTTTGTATGTTTTAGTAAAATAATTGTGATTATCTTGTCAGATGCCTAAAATACCCCTTTCACTGGATTTTTTTTTTTTAATTTAAAACCTTCTTTCTCTAATCAGGAAGTTTCAGCAATCTTGTTTTGAGGCAGGGACTACAAAGAGGACCTTAGGGCTGTGTACAGATTGTGGCTCAGAGATTGCTCACCTAGCCACTCAAGGACAAACACAGAGTTAGGTTTGCAGGCTGAATATTTAGGTGATTCACACAAACTTGTTGAATTAATCCAGAAAGGACTAGAAATAAAAGAATAAAGATGAAGCAAATGCCTAGCCAGTTTTTACTGATGTACATTTGAACAAGCTTGCACACACAGATCACTTTCAGTGTTACAGAACTATTTCCCTAATAGTTAATAAAACATAGAATACCTTTTTATCAACAGATAGAAAAGAAGAAGTGTAATAGCTGTTCATCTGGGGCAGTTTTGCCACAGCTGCTGCAAGCTCAAAGAATGTAGACTTTAGATTCTTGAATTTTGAATTCCTTGATTTCTCATCAAAAGCTAGTCAGCAAAAATGGGGCTGGTAAATTCATGGTGTGGAAATTGTGGACAGGGAGGACTTCTTGGGTCACAGAGTTGGAACCAGGAGTTCCGTTCAAGTGATGCATCCTCGGGTTCCATGTCACGCCAAAGCCTTTGGGTGCTGTGCTCTATCTATGAGGGCTTCTCTCCTGCACACAGTCAAACTGACCTTGAGGAAGACCAACAGCACAGTGTGACTTTGCAGAGGAGAGGGGCTGCTTCCCAGGGCTTGTGTGGAGTCCTCTTCAGGCAGGTGCATCATCTGAATAGGACTCTGATTATCCATTCAAACTAAACACAAGAAGATTCAGGACTAAGAAAAGAAAGGACACAAAGTCAGACTGGGATTTGCTGCCAACAGTGTGGTGGTAGCTGTAAAAAAGAACTGAATAAATTCATGGTGGGTTGAGCTAAGAACGTTGATGACTTTGTGGCTGCTGATGACCTCCTTAACCATATGCCTGGCAACAACAGCGGAAAGGGATGATTGTCTGCCTCTCCGTGCTAATGACTTCCTGAATGCACAGGATTGGCCCTGAACAAGACAGAACACTGGACTGGATAGATCATTGACCTAATCCGTTGCTTAATCCATCGACAGAGGCTCGGGGCAGTCTGTTTTTACTGGAGCTAAGTAGCGTGCCATTGCAGTTTGTAATCTTTGGAGTCTATGTAGATCAAAAAGAGAGAGCCGGTGGTCCTTGTGCATGGATTTGGTATTGATTGCATGGATCGCCTTGCTTTATTGCCACTTTTGTAAGCTTATGAGGTTCCTTTAAAGTTATTGAGGGATGGACCTTTACAATACTTGGAATGGCATCTCCTTTAGGTGATACAGCAAGCAACTCTCTCTGAGTTTCCAAAGTGTAAAAAAAACAAATTGCAAATGGAATGACCTCTGCAGTCCTGTGAATCATAATTCTGAGGAGACGAGGAGAATGTTTACAGCACTACTCTTGTTTCTTTTTTAAGCCACAGAAATAAAATAAATAACTGCCCATGAGTTCAGGAATTCAGTTAAACTGGACAAAAATAAATAGTTACTACTCTTCCTTTAGAAAAAAGATATGTGCCCAAAATGTCCTCTTCTGACATCTTATTTCTTTTTTCCCCTCTCCTGAAAAGCCGTAATCAGCTCTCAACATTGCCTGTCCACTTGTGCAGCTTACCCTTAAAAGTTTTGATAGCAAGTAATAATAAACTGGTCTCCCTCCCAGAAGAAATTGGACAGCTCAGGCATCTGATGGAGCTTGTAAGTACATAAGTCTTTTACTAGTTCAGCTTTCGATTCTTTATTTTGTTCTCCTTATGGTTTTAGATTTTATAGGTGAATTATATTTTTCCAAAAAATTGACTTAATGGTAAATAAAATTAATGATTTATCAGTAGTGGACAGTGTTTGTCATGAAATAGGAATCAGATTAAGTATTTCTGTTTCTGTATAGATATCCTGATGTTGATGACCCTCTGCATCCCAGAACTGATGTTTACTGCCATTAATGTACTCTGACTTTAAAGCCTCATGCGTGGCTTCTCTGAGCTTCTTAATAGCAAGTGGGATATCTGCCACATTCTTGTGGTTTTTAGTTTACTTTTACGATAAGTTGCTAAAATAAGCATTGAGCTTATTTGAACAGTGAGATGTTGATCCATGAAAGAGAACGACAGGTAGTTTTAATAACAGATACAAGTAGTCCTCTGGTAACACCTGGAATTGGGACTGGAATTTCTGTTGCTAAGTGTAAAGCACGACATCACTTGACCACATTGCTTAGCAAAGGCAATTCCAGCGGTTCCTGTTGCTGCTGTTAAGCGAGGTTCGCAGGTCATTAACTGAATAGCTCCTCGCAACTTCCTACCAGCTTCCAACAACCAAAGTCAGTGGGGAAGCTGGCAGGAAATTGCAAGTCCCAGGCAGCTTGCAAGCAGGCTGGCAAGCAGGTAAGTGGTTGCTGCCAGGTGGGGGACAGTGTGAGGGGAAGGTGTGATGTGAGCACGTCGGGGCTTGGGGTGGCTGTTAGAAGGTGGGGGAGGGTGCGCAAGGGGCTGCTGCGGCGCAAGCACGATGGTTTGAGGGTGGCGGCTGTCAGGTGCAGGAGACTTACTAGAGTGACTTGGAACCTTCTCTGCCGGCTTCCCCATTGACTTTGCTTGTGGGAACCTGGCGAGGAAGGTCACAAATGGTGATCACGTGTCCATGGGACTTGCAACTGTCCTTAAGTGCAAGTTGGTTGCCAAGCTTCCAGATCACAATCACATGAGCATGGGGGTGGTTGTACAGCTGGAACTTGGAAGGCTGGTTGTAAGTATCACTCATTTCAGCACTGTCGTAACTTTGAGTGGTTGCTGAATGAGTGGTCGTTAACCGAGGACTACCTGTACTTCGTCCTCTTGACAGAATCTGTAAAGATATGCATGTTATCAAACTGTGAGTCTAACATTAGATTGTTATCAAAGTATCCTCTGAAGTTAAAATCAGCTATGCCCCCAAGTTAATTTCAGAAATTTGGATTCTGAACATACTTCAGTTGAAGTATCTTCAGAGATTCCATCCCATCTGCTGATTGGCAGATGGGAACTATATCTCTTATGCTAGGTGAGCCTTTTAACTGGCCACATATGAGATCTCTTTAAATATTTAAACATGGCAACTTTGATTCTCTTCCGGGCTTGAAAACATAGGTTGGAATTTTTTGGCATAGAACACACAATAGCAGTATTCACACAGCATACATATTCTGAATTAGTTGCAGATTTAGCAGCTGTAAGTCATGTAAAATGCTAGTTGATTGATTATGTGCCATCAGGTTGGTGTTGACTTTTAGCAACCACATAGATAGACCTTCTCCAAGTCTATCTGGCCCCAACCTGTCTTTTCAGGTCTCCCAAAAGTGAATCCATCAAGTCCATCCACCTTGCTGCTAGTTATGCTCTTTTTCTCTTTCCTTCCACCTCTGCCAGCATTATTGACTTCTCAGGGGAGCTGGATCTTTGGGTAATGTGTCCCAAATATGATAATTTGAGTATGGTCATTTGCACCTTGAGAACTCTGGATTAGTTTGTTCAGTGATCCATATGTAATTTTCCTGGCTTTCCATAGTATTCCCAAGAGTCTTCTCCACTGCCAGAGTTCAAAAGCATTAATAGTCTTTCTATCCTGATTCTTCAAAGTCCAACTTTCACTCCTGTAGAGTGTCATGGGGAATATGACTGCCTACATTATTCTGATCTTTGTAGGTATAGACATATCATAGCATCTGAATATCTTTTCCAAGGCCTTTATTCCTACCCTACCCTACTAATGCTAGTCTGCAACATATTTCTTGAGTGCTGGGTCCTTCCAGATTGTTGATCCTAGAAGGCAGAAGCCATCCACCTCTTCACCCTGTCAGTGTTAAGGCTGGTTGCTCTACCTGTCTTAATTAGTTTGCTCTTGCTTATATTGAATCTTAGTCCCATCTTTTCACTGCACTCCTTTACTTTCATTACTAGAGGTTGCAGATTATTTCCATTTTCAGCTGTCAGAGTAGTCATCAGCATAGTGTGGGTTATTAATGTTTCTTCCTTCAGTTGTAAAACCATTCTCATCTTCTTCCAGTCTAGCCTCCCTCAAAATACAGTGGGGCAAAAAAGTATTTAGTCAGCCACCAATTG